TTTTTTTCCATATATTTTGGATTTTAATCTTTTTTTTTAATAATACAATTGTGAATTGTTTCAACTATTTTTAAATTTGTTCATTAAATATTGACAAAATCAATGAACAACGACCAAATATATATATTAGGTCTGTTAGGAAGAAAAAAAACAACAAACATAATTACTAATTCCTTTTGCTGTACATCAAATGTGAGGAGTATAGGAGGGGTGGGGGTATCGTCAACACAGCAGACGTCAGGTTTTGTACGTCTGGCAGCTGCCCTGTGTGTGGATTTAGCAATTGTCAAATGAAGCATACATTCTTAGCTTCTTTTTTTATTATTTAAAAAAAAAAGAAAGAATATTTTAAACGCTCATCTGTCTTATAAGATCAACTAGTTTTGTTGTTTTTATCTGCTATTGAATGCAGGAAATAATAAATGACCTTTCATTTTAACCTTTAAAAAAAAATATTAAAAAACGGTCATTGATGCAGCGAACAGGTTTTAAATTATTTAAATGACACCAGAGTTCCCTACCCCTTTGATCTGTTCAAGTGTCTGCCCAAACAGGGTTTCTGGAACCTAAAGATATGTCTCGCTTTCGTTATCGACAAAATCAAATAGATTGTTGAATACGTTATTCGGAACTGATCCTCTTATTCGAAACAATACTAGATCTAATTTAAACTGTATTTTATTTTATTTTTTTAATTAAAAAAAAAACTCTCCCCCCCCTCCAAAAAAAAAAAATTAAAAGATAATAAAAATAATTTTAATCTGGACGATTATTTAAAAAATCTTTCAGTTTGTCCATACATGACACATTTCCAACTAAAGGTCACAATGGTAATAACTATTTGGAAAGCGCGTGCCATTGTTTCATGTTGACAGTAGGTGTGCTTTTGTTAACAGTGTGTATAGTAATGCAGTGACACTCTAAATTATTTACGTAAGCATGTCATCCGGGCTAAGAAAGCATATTGCTAACAGATGTGAGGACAGGCACAATGTAAGAGGATGATGTAATGAACGGGGTTAGGGTTAGGGTTAGGCTTAAATGAAGCGGCTAAATGCACGGACAAGACATTCTAAATAACTAGACAATTATGGCGCGTTTGTTTGTTTGTTTGTTGTTGTTGATGGGTTTTTGTTTGTTTGTTTGTTTGTTTTTGTTTTTGTGTTTTTTGTGTGCAATTGCTGGATTTGAAATGTATGTGAACGTCTTTCTAGCAATAGTATTTTGAGTTAAAATATATTAGTTATGTCTTTCAACACACACACGCAGTTGCATTGACAGTGTTCAAATTAAATGTCTGTTTTTATGAACATAGTTCATAGTATAATGAATCATTGAATGCTGCAGTGGTCTGTCTTTGTACCCAGTGAAGCAATGTGAAATGTATCAGGATCTGTTGACAGTCTTTTTACCAACCAGAGCAATTTCACCGTGAATGTATCAGATATGTTGTCTGTCTTTCCACCCATCACAAGCAAAGTCTTTTCGCCCGCCAGAGCAATTTCACTGTGAACGTATGAGATCTGTTGACTGTCTTTCTACCCATCTTAGCAATATCACCGTGAATGTTATGAACGTATCAGATCTGTTGACTGTCTTTCTACCCATCATAGCAATATCATTGTGAATGTTATGAACGTATCAGATCTGTTGACTGTCTTTCTACCCATCATAGCAATATCACCGTGAATGCATCAGATACGTTGTCTATCGTTCCACCCATCACATCAATGTGAATATATCAGATCTGCTGACTGTCTTTCAACCCATCATAGCAATATCACTGTGAATGTTATGAATGTATCAGATCTGTTGTCTGTCTTTCCACCCATCACAGCAATGTGAATGTATCAGATCTTTTAATTTAATTCCCCTCCAAAATTAATCATGTTTGACAGAATCAGTCGCGAGCTCTCTCCTCGCGCGCACTCAGAATGAACAACTGGCATTATTTTACTACAGTAATGAAAAAAACACGACGAGCTCCACCCCGCCCCCCGCAAAGATCAGCACTTCTTTCTCTCCTGTCCTACTTGAAACAGCTACCGACTTTCCCACGGTCCCAGCTCGAGCATTCGACCATCTGGCGCACGCGAGCGCCATCTCCATTATCAGCTTGTCTTACTGTCCTTGCACCGCTCCCCTGGGTGGGGCTGTACCTAGGCCGCTGGGTAGAGGGGGGGGGTATGGAGAAAGGCGGTAGAAAGTCGTCCTCTCCTCCCCCCTCTCCCTTTATGAAATGTGAGTATGTCTGCTCTACCATCTTCTTCTTTCCCGGTGGATCGCGTCATTGTCTGCTCCCGCTAGTTCTATGCCCTTGTTGTGGCCAGACAACGGGATGGTTCACCTGGCAACAACACTGACCTACCTACTTTTGTGTTCACCTTCGCAGGTCAGCCAGAGTTCACTTAATTCTCAGATTGAGGTTTCTTTTTTGGAGGAGCACCTTCAAAATCTGAATAATGAACAGATATTTTTTGTGAGTGCCCCTTTGGAGACTGAAATTGGTTCCTTAAATACGTAACTTTCATTCGCTGTCTTAACTGAACTCGACTCATTGTCTGTCACCAAAGAAGCTATGGTGTGTACACTGTATAAAACGTACGACAATAATTGTCTACAGTCTACAGATGCTACACAGGCCCTGCCCAACTTACATTGTTTCCATACAATACAAGTGTAACTGATTTTGGCTTTTTTTTTTTTTTTTTTTTTTTAAATTTCGCTTTTATTCAGGGTTTCCAAAAAAAATTTAAGGACACATTTTAAAAATTTTTTTTTTAAATATTTTTTTTTCGGTAAAAAATTTTTTTTTTTTTTTTTTTTTTTTTTTTTTTTTTTTAAATATCGCTTTAGATCAGGGTTGCCAAGAAAAATTTAAGGACACATTTTAAAGATTTTTTTTTTAAATATATTTTTTACGGAGAAACATTTTTTTTTTAAAACGGACAACACATTTTAAAAGTCTTAGACTTTTACACATTTTTTTTTTTTACGGATATCTAAAGCTCTTACGGACAGGCCATTTTGTGTCATAATTTTACCGACTGTCCGTAAATTTTCCGACAGTTAGAAACACTCTGAGATGAAATATATAAATCAATAAAACTTCTGTTTTCTATGAAGAATTTTTTTTTAAAGGCTTCTTTCTCTGAATTCATCCCCGAAAGACTGGCGAGAGCAGTGCGTGAACTTCCCATCTACATCTACTAAAGTGACTTGACAAAACATAAACACGGTTAACGCACATTTTAAGGTTAACACCCCCCCCCTCCCCCAATGATACGTCACTACACAGTTTCTATTTCATGCCCATGAACTACCATGTTTAAATTGAAAGATTTCATTTTCCGAAAAGAAAATATGACGCACCAAACATCATCATTTAGCGCAGGTTATCGGGAGTTATATTTTGTGCACTAATTCGCAAATGGAAGCAATCATAAAACAAGCAAAATATTATGAAATTTTCAATATATTTCTTTTCCTTTTCAATAAATCAGATTTTAGATGTAAACCTATTCGTTTTGAAAATTTCAAAATGAAACAACCCACATTTCGTGTTTTTTTTAATATTAAACCCACTTATTATTATTATTTTATTTTTTTAAATCACTGTCTGCAGAAAAAAAAAATAAAAAAAATCAGACACCGTCTGACCTCTAGTGTGTCTTTAACGTAGGTAAACATTACGTTTTGGTGCGGATAGCCCAGCTCCAAGTTGCCGGTTTGTTCCTGTTATTGTCATAATTACAGCAATGGGTCAAACTTCTATTATATTAAAAAAGTGACGAACGCATTTGCCAAGATCCATTCTATCCCCTCCAGTAGGTGCATCGGTCCTGCCTATCTTCAACTAATCCGACCATACAGTCAGCGCGAACCTAAATACCGGTATATATATAGATGACAAATATTTTTAAAAAAATATATTATCCAATTTAATTTATCTAGTTGATGTATTGAGATCTGATTTGTTTTTAAAAGAAATTGGAATTCGTCCAATACGGCCACCTACGCTCACACCATATCAACATGACGTTATTTGTTTTAACTACTCATTGATTTTAAAACTCGTTTGAAATTACCGATGTTTTTGTTTTCAATAAGTCGAAACCCATAATAACGAATAGTTATTAAGAGGTATGAAATAATTACCCATTTGGTTAAATGACCTAAAGTGCTCAAGGTAGAAGAACTACACCAGTTTAACAGACGCAGGATTGGCTGGAAACTGATGGGAAGAAATTCGGGTCATTCTATTTCTTTATATAGGTTGAAGGTGAAAAGAATTTAGAAGATATCAAATGTTGGCTTAGTTCTGGTTTAGAATGCTTCGGTAGTTGTCATTTAAGGAGAATCTGGATAATACAAAAATCTGATAGTTGAATGGTAAAAGTTTCCCTGGATCACTTCAAATTGAAGCTTAGACAAAAAAAAATTGATGTATCTTCAGTCACAAGTGTGAAGTTATTTGGTGAATAATTGTACATTTATATGGCATTTATCTGTGTAGTTAGACCCATTTAATAGTTACAACTGAGATTTGGCCAGATTGTCATTTGCAAGAAGCTTATCTGAATTATCTGGGATGAGAATATTACAATTGTATCAAATCTATTATCTTTTAACACCCTTCTTCTGGACATGACATTGACTAATACACTCAGTAGCCCACTCGCAACTTTTGCCTGATGCACAGTAAGAATTGCAGAAACACAAATAAAAAACAACAAATAAATAGTGTACACCACATTTGTAGTAATAAAATCAAGTAGAAATAGAATTAATTTTTTTAATTCATCTCCTACTAATCAGCAAGAGTAGTTCATATAACAGCAACATTTCCTTAACTCATGTCACCAGTAAAATATTCAATCATATCATCACTCAACATGTGTTTGGTGAAGTGGGGTGTTGTGCATTGGTGAAAGAAGAAAAGAAGGGGGGGGGGGGGGGAGGGAAAAAAAGAAAAAAGGGGGGGGGACCAAAAAACTTTCTCAATAACATTTCATAAATATACATCTTCAATGATTTGATACAGATGAAATTTTTTTTACACTCACCTCTTCAAAGTGTCAAGATGAAAATAAAACTTTTTAAAAAGTTAAATTAAATTAAACTGTAAAACACATTTTAAATACTTTACAAGAAGTATCAATGTCAAAAGCAGCCATGCAATGTCTTTGTAAAAAAAAAAAAAAAATTAATTTACAACAGCTCTTATTTTCAAGCCCTGCCTGTCAAGTGGAGACAACATATCTAACAAATGTAATATTTTATTTTAACCAAACAAGAATAATATTTACAGGTAACAGATTTCATCATAACACCACCACAAACCAGCCATCCACAAACACCACACCATTACAGCTAACCATCTAAAACACCATAAGAGCACACCATCCTAACACTCCATTACAGGTAACAAACCATCTTAAAAACCATAACAAATACACCATCTCAACACACTATTACAATCCACTGTAACACATGCTAATTTTGTGATCCCATGCTGCCAGAGCCTTTCCCTTGTCCTGGAGCTGAAATATATTAAAACAATTGTTACAGTTACATGGCACTGTTACTAGAGATAAACTGTGTAACTAAACCATCTTTTTTCTCTGCATATTTAGAACAGGGGTTGATAATCCCATGACACCTTTGCCAGACGTGGCATACACAAAGCTATTTTCAGTGACATGCGGAAGATCAAGTGAATGATAACAAATGACTAATATATGTGTCTAGTATGGTAAGCTGGCACTCTGAATGAAATACAAGTCCAAATTTGGCTAAATATTTCACAAGAAACTGTCAACAAAATAATATTTCTAGAAAATGTAAAAAAAAATGTCCCAAATAAGCGTTTTAATAAGTTCCTTTGTTAGAACTACGACAAGATGGGTGTCAGGATGGGTATCATACAGTTCAATCCAACTGATTACTGCACCACATTTCAAAAGCTTTTAAGATAAATTTAGCAGTTGGCCCTGTCTTGGATCATTTCACAACACTTTGCTAATCTTTTCTTATTCATAGGTTTTTATAATCATATTTATGAAGTCAAGCATGAGATAAAAAAATTTATCTTGGAAATTAAATAAAATATCATCTTTTATAATTTGGAAAGAGGGGGGGGGGGGGGGGGGAGGGGGGGGAGGGGGAGGAGGGAGAGATGTGGTATGTTATTTTTGACTTTTTAATAAAGGCATTACTTGTGCCAAGAACAACCATCCAACAGCAAAATGATGTTAAAGCATTGACAGCAAGCTATATTTTTGCCTTTGTCAGACATATTTTTTATTCTTGGATCTGTGACTGAAATATTTGCAATAATTTGAACTCTTTAGAAAAACTGATGAAATAGAAATGGCAAGGTTTTTCCCAAACTGAGCTCAGCTTCAATAAATATGCAACTATTTTAACCTACTACACTTGTGAGTTTTTCAAACCCCATGAGATCTTAGCTAAAATTGATTAAAAATATCATCACCTTTTCCTGTAAAATTGTACCCGTAGGCAGCATAAGCAGCGGTCATACCAGCATGGGCACCGGCTATCTCAGCAGCAGACATGGCTTTTTTGGCACTGCCTCTGCCCCTAGGTCGCTTGCCTACACCTGTACCTCTTGGTCTTCCTCTGCCTCTCCCTCTTTTTGGGGTCTGGATTGGTGTGCTTGTTACTTGTGGATGAAATAAAAATTAACTCTCCATGTTCATGTAAAATAATAATTTCTACAAAACAATATTCCACATCAAGGTTAAAACCCCTAATTGCATGCTGGACATTCCTTGGCAAGGGAGAAAACTGAAAAGTTTTCAGATTTCAAAATTGGAAATAGTAACTAAGTTTTTAAATTTAAAAAAAAAATGATATATACCCATATATATATTACAAAATTTCAATGACTTGTCATTGTGCACATTTATTCTTCCAGTCATCTGAATATACAAATATTTGTCATATAAACTGTTACCCAAACAGCTTTTTCTGGTTTCTGAAGTTAAAAACACAACAAACAAAAAACTTGTTTTCTTAACAAACTGCTCTAATTGAGGTCATCAAACCATACCTGGTGGGAACAAAGTGTGACTGCCATCATCCACAATGACCAGTCCGCCATCATTGCTGTCTTCCTGAGCAGGCATGAACATGGCCTCACTGCCAACTGACATCTGAAAATTTAATAAATGTACAAGGTGATATAAGCCATTTATACCAAAGTTTGTGTTTATATATAACTGTCAACATTCATTGACCTCTTAACATGTATTGAGTTGGCTTATGTTGAAAATAAAGCATTTTTCACAGGTCTGACCTAGATTTACTGCGTGGTAAATACTTAAATCATGAAATAATAAATATCCTTACAATCCAATTAACTGCTGAGTCAAAGGCATCATTTTTTAATTCATTAGCACACTATATAGCAGTTTAATAAATTCAGAAGATTTAGATTGGATATCGGGAAATATTTAAAGTTAAAGAAATGTTTTAAAAATTCATACTTGTGCATGCGTAGAAGTAAATTATTGTTTACTTTCGGTAGCATTTCAACAACATTGTTTTTATTACACATTTGTAAAATAATTATAAAACTCTTCATGGCGAAAGTATACTTCTCTAAATCAGGCAACATATACTAATTAAGGGCAAGAATCTCATCCCCAAGCTTACTGGACTGGCTGGCATGGAGTCCTTGCTTGCTATAGATTCTGTGTCAGGGGCAGGAATGGTCAAGTTAATTTCTTCAACAACAGATTTCTTTTTAGTACTTTCTCGTTTCTGCAAATGGACATGAAGGAATCATTTCAAAGACAACATTTACTCTGCCACTTAGAGTGAATAATTTTGAGGGTCTATTCACAATAAAATTAAAAGGATTACAATAGCATTCTCATCAAGCTCAAAGCACACCAAGATATTAAATTGCACCCTGGTTAATGATAACAAAAGTAAACTTCTCGAACAAGTTAAAGGGGTCCCCTCTGCTCTAAAGCATTTCTAGAGGCATTTTACATGAGACATTTTGTTCTCAGAGAGCGATTGTTTAGATAACACTGCTTTCACCAAAATTAATTTTTATAAATTTTACAACCAATTAGAATGGGGGAAAGTTTGAAATTTTAATTAAATGAAACATATTCACACATAGTATCCAACCTTATATTCTCGCTTCCTCTTCCTAAATATTGTGCCCATGTTGGGATCATCTCCAATTTTTTCAAACTGTCGTGTCAGTACTGAAAGAAAGAAAAAACATTTTTAGTCTTGGCCAATGAACAGATTTTCAAGGTGAGATATAAGAAGATAGGAAATGATTCCATTATTGATCCAAAGAAATGAAAATTCGTTGCCATTACTTTTTATGTTTACACTATCTGCACCACTAATTTAAATGGTTTGGAAAATTGAGCAAGAGGTTTAAACCTTTTTACATATAAGTATTAGTTTGATTCTTCTCTTTTAAGTTCAAGTTACATAAAATTGCCTTCTTTGAAATGATTAATTTTCAGGAATCTCATCACACAAAATCTGAAATGGGAAAAGCTATTGTCCTGTCATAGCATTGCTCAGTAATCCCATTGTGCTGTTATATCAAGTGCTGTCAATAAGTTGCTCAATTATTTAATTATTTTTTCAATTTACATTTCTTTTCCATTTCATCATCATCAATAAGTAAAGACACAACTTCTCTTGGCTTCAGTGAGTCAGGCTTGTAGCTGCCACCAGATATCACCATTTTTTGAATCTACAAAAAAGAAATGGTGAATTTATTTGTTTTAAAATATACAGTAAATAAAGAGAAAATTTTTTAAATTTTATAGGCTATAGAAAACAACAAATATAATATAGTTTTATATACTCCGCAAGAGAAAACATTTAATATTTCGTTGAGGAATTTCTGTTTCTTTTCCAAATCATAGAATTGCTCAAACACTTGAGAACTAATAATTTGTGATGTTACCACTCCTATAGTGCTAACACAAAGATTTAAACAGTTAAGTTTCCTACCTCACTCTTCTCTTTAGCTCGCTGTAATATCCTTTCCTCAATGGTACCTTTACATATAAGCCTATAGACCGTGACTTGCTTGGTCTGACCAAGCCTGTGAGCACGGTCCATGGCTTGTTGGTCAACTGTTGGATTCCAGTCACTGTCATAAAATATCACCTGAAATTACAAAACCACAACTTTAAATTTAAACAACTTTCATACTCACTGAATGTTTTCTTTGTAAATAAATTGTGTATTTATTTTGCATTAACTTTTAACAAATGTAAATATTTCTTTACAGCTATCTGGTTTCATTGACTGGGGCACTTACAGTATCAGCTGCTGTCAGATTGATGCCCAAGCCACCAGCTCTCGTACTCAAGAGGAAAACAAAAATGTCTGAACGAGACTGGAAATCAGCCACCATGTCACGACGTTCAGAGATTTTCGAGGATCCATCAAGCCTCATGTATGTATGCTTTCTGTACCACATGTATTCCTAGGAAGGAAAGTAGAGTAAGTTCATTTAATTGAAGCTAAACAAATTTTTACAAAGTAAAACAAATAAATAATGGAAATAATTGACTATAAATGTATTATTGTATTATCCTTCTTAACTCTCGCTGACACATTTGTTTGTTTCATCCCCTTGTTGTTATTTAAGCTTTAAAAAATCTTGTTCTGATTATTTCTTTGAAAACAGTCTTTACCATATGATTCTTTAAAAAATAATACTAATATTTTAGCATAACTTACACAAATGCATTCATCCTACTCTAATTGTAAAATAAATTGTTTAATAATACCAGGCCAGGCTTCCAGAAATTACCTCAAGCAGATCTATCATCCTTGTCATTTGAGAATAAATCAAAACCCTGTGGTTATCATTTTTTAACCTCTGCAGCAAGGAGTCCAAGACAAATAGTTTTCCCGCATCACTCACCAAGGACTCTTTGTCTGTAACGGCAAATCCAAAATAAGACATTTTAAGTCACTCAAACGATCAACATTTAATAAATATTTCTGTTTCACCCATTTACCCTGCTCTACTTAAGACAGCATCAACATTTAGTCTGTTCTATGCAATACATTCCTGATTTTTTTTTTAAACCTGAATATTTGCATTAAAGGCTGCAAAGTTAAAACTGTTGAAAATTAACTCTGTGACAGACTTACCTGGTATCTGTACTTGCGTCCAACCGTAATATGGGCTTATGGCAGACAAGCCAGCTCTTTCAGTAGGGCTGAAACTACGTGACGCATGACAAGCATCCGTGTAAAGTTCAGGTGATCCGTACCATAATGCTTGCTTGGCCTCTGATGAGCCCCCTTCTAGTTTTCTCAAACGATGCCATTCGGCGCTGCGATCACTGGTGTATTCAACAATACCTGGACATGTCACCTGTAAGCACACAACAAAATAGTTGCTATATTTCTAAATAACAGCTTCTCAAATTCCTAACTATGTTTCTGGCAGAGAATTAATCTTTAGCAATCCCTGGATGGTTAGTCTGATAGGCACCCTTAATGAGCACAGTACCGAGTAAAGCATGCAGGTACTTGTGGGTAATTTGGGGGAATTTAATTGTGGTGGTGTTTTTCAGCATCTCATGATTGGTTTGGGTGAAAATTTTAAGACGCATTACAGAATTTTAGTGTTTCACAATTTTTACCACAGAAATAGAACAAAATCTGATTCCAGTATTTTAATGAACTTCCAAAGGAGGGCTGACTGGGCTGTAATACATCGTAATTATTTTAACAATGTAGTACTTTTAGAGCCTTTAAATTTTGAGATTTTTTAAACTATAATCTAGCTTTTTACATCTAATGAGGGCCTGAACAAGTTTAGCTGCCTCTGCCTCTCTTGACCTATGATAGGCACAGGCAGGACTCAGGGACGGCCCTCATTTTTAAAAACTGCTTTGAATGCAGAGGCATTTTTTACTTACGCATTATGTTGGTTTAAGCATGCCTGGCTCATCAGAAAGAAATTTTTAGATAACACATTATCTACACAGTCAATTACCTTTATCCATGTCTCACAGAAAGTTTTCAACCATTTTGCAATAAACTACAAAATTATAGCATACAAATGGGTAATATCTAAACTAAGACCTACCTTAAAAACAAGCAAGAAAAAGAAGTTGGGTACATCTGTCTTAATACACTTGAAAACCCGAGGTGAGCGGTATTTGTGAGGGTGGAGTGGCAAACTGACTTCTTCAGTGGGACTTAGTGCTGATGTTGGACTTTTTCCTGGAGACTTGAGACAAAGACAAGAATCATTTAGGGAAAATTTGATTTCAAAAAGTCATACATGATCTATTTCTTGGAACAAAATGACAAAGTAAGGTACAGAAATTGTACTCCTGATACATTAAGTGACTTAAAATGAATAATGAAATATACAGCTAGAAGTAATCTTTTTAAAGGCTCCTCCAACAAAAAGATGGGAATTTTGGGAGAAATATTTATTTTGTAAGTATTTTTTTAGTTTTTCCTACCAATGTGGTATGTGGTATTTCAGCGACATATAAAACAATCCCTGCAAAACATCATGGTCATCTAGTTTTCCATTTAGCAAAAGTTATGTGAATTAAATATTACATTTTCTTCTTACTTTTGTTGGAGAATTAGGTGGGCTAAGTGGAGTTTTTTTCCCAGACAGCTGTCTCAGCCGCCGCAGCCTGATCTGTCGATGTGCAAATGTTTCTGGTATGTAATGAAGCACTGCATTTTGATATGTGTAAAACCTGGATGTGTAACTGGTGAATACCAGGTCTTGGAGCACCGGGCTCAAATGTATGCTAGTTATACTGGTTGTTCTGAGTGGCTCTAACTGCAGACAGCTTTTTGAGTTGAAACTAAAAGAAAAAACATGTTGATTAATGGTATGCATAAATAGAAGTAGTCTTTAATAGTGTTGGAAAAAAGCCAAATAGTTTTAAGGACATGAACTTATAAAAGATTAAAGTTAAGACTGCCTGAGTAAGACTGCCTTATATATTATTTTTGCATAAAAATGAATTCAATTAATGTACGGATAACTTACTTGTTATCTTCACGCCAAAGGAAATGTTGATGTATCCTATAAGCTGCCTTCAATAACAAGAAGACTCCAAGCCACCTTAAACACAACAGTTTCAGCATTAAATATATTGCATTTTTGCAATTAAAACAGCAAACATAAAGATGTAAAGTAATTTACAATTTAATAAATGAAATTCTTAGCTAATATATAAAGCTATAATTTATATACCTTGTTAGCAAGCCCCCATACATGTAGGCATGTAGCTCTTTAGGAGACAAGTTTATAAGGCGTGTGAAGGAAAAACAGCTGGCAGAATTGGCACCTGAGTAAGGATGAGAAATAATGATATCATAAGACATGTAAAAACTAGAGAATATTAGCACATTTGAGAGGGGATGCTACTGTTTTTTGTTCAGCGGGCTATACTAGACTTAATAAGTCATCTCAAGATCGACTCCAAAGGGGGTCAATTAAATACTCATGTTGTTCAGAGTTTTTAATTTTTGTCAAATTTGATGAAGAGAGTACAAGATTCAGTTAAAAATTGTGATCATATTATAAACTGGTACTGTTTCAATGCAAATAACTTGTCTGCAAGTACAGTGCAATTCAGTGATTCTCAAAATATGGAACATGTACTACTAGTGGTAAGGTATGTTGTTTAAGGAGCTACTCAGAACCTTAATTTACTATGTTACCAAAAATAATCTATATTAAAACATTTTTTTTAAAAATTTGCCCTTCCGTATACAAAGCCTTCTTTCCTAAGGTCTTGTGGGCTTACTGTTACCTCTAAAGCAGAGGTCTCAATCTTGTTGGTCAAGTGCTTGGTGTTACAAATCTTAATAACAGACAAGAGTTTAATCAGGCGGCTCTAAAATATATCCTCATTTCTCTCTTAAGGCTAAATCAAACCGCTGCTCTGCAGGTTCTTCAAAATGGCATAATATAAACTCTTACATTCAAGAATATGAGGACTTACCATTTGATGAATGAAATAGATCTGAATGAATATTGTCAGGAGAAAATATGTACAATTTGTTAAAGGTGATGTGTTGCAAACTCTGGAGATTCTCTAAGAAACCTAATGAAAGAGAAAAAAATTCACACTATAAGTTTAACTTTTTTCTAAGTAAGTCAAAAACAAATTTAATGACATAGAGTAATTTATCTGGAAGTCACTGAATGTTCATGATTTTTAACACTAATGGACAAGTCCTGACACATTGACATTTGTAGTCAGAAACAAATGATTTTTAATAAATGCATGCACAGTAATGCTAAAACTATTAAGATGTGAAATAAATGTATCTTCAATTTAACATTTAAAATAGCATATGACCATACCTTCTCTGTAGACTAACTTGGGTACAACATAGGTATGGGAAGGGAGGTGTATGGGAGTTTTTGGTTCATTCCTCTCAAACAACTCTGGATGGTTACACACCTGCACCCAAATTTTAAACATTTATGTTTTTTTAAATGGAATTCCGAAAGAAAAAAGCATGGAGTGTTGTACATTATCCCAGTGGACAATTAATTTTATTTTGTTGCAGTCCACTTTCACTTTTTAGAAAAAAAAACCAAAAAAAACTTTATTTAAGTTTACAATTTTAACCCAAGGACTGTGGTCGGCCGATTAAATCGGCCAATTTTCTCTTCTTGTACGGTGTCGGCCGATAAAAATTGCGCTGAAAGAACAATTTCGAGTCTAATATTTTACACTAAATAAAACTACTTCCTATTAATAATAAACTTCCCTTTTTGGCTCTTCTGTGTCCTTTTTTTAAACTTTGGAGTAATTTTTTACAACGATCATTATCAAGCAAATTTGTGTAAGTAGATTATCGTGAAATGGATGAGGCCATAGCTGGACCATCTGGCGTCCAAAATAAATCAGTTAGGAATCTTTTTGATAATTCTTTTTAGTTAATGACTTAAGTGCTTCAGAAGATGATTTTCTGACCATACACGAAGACAATGATAATTCAGATTATTTTTCTAGTGGGTCAGAAAGCGAAAGTTCAGATGATTTAGACCTACGCCTAGAACGAGTAGGCGTTGCCGCAACATCACTACTCGTTCAAAACTAAGTTGCAGTTGATTTTGTACCAACAAAAAATAATTGGATGTTGTTCTATACATGTTTTATTATATTTCATTTTATGGATTAAATATTTATATAGCAGTTTTTAAAATTTTATCTGTTTCTTGCTATTTAGTAATGTTTATATTGTTTATGTCAAGCTTGGTTACTTAAACGTAATATAAGTATCGAAGAAGTTTTTTAAAAAATCTATAAATAACTAAAACATTTACAAATTATACATTTTCTGAAAGATAAATAAAATATGCTATCATATTATATTCTTCTTCTTCTATATCTTAAGGGCCCACGATCAATTTATTGATCATTTTGGCTCCTATGCATGTAGATGGGATTTGCAATGTTTCTGTTACTGGTGTTGATGAGGAAATCATGCACTAGGGGTTTGAAGGCTTGAGGCAATAGACACAAATGTTTTAATAATATGCCTTTTAAAAATTGTAGTTTGGGGTACTTGAAAATAAAACTTTTCATTATTTTCTTTATTCTTGGCCACTCCAAGGTAAAGGTAACGATCACAGAGTATAAAATAGCATTAACAAAATAGCCAATATGATTCCCCACTCAGTCTAATTTCAATAAAGATATACTTTATGGGGTCCAGCTATAGTATTTGCATGTGAAAAAATCACCTTTTTCAAATGCAACCAAAAAGCTCTACATTGCCTGCAAAGTACAGAATAGTAACCAGCACAGTTCATGGGTTATAAGTGAGAATTATTGATTGCATAGAAATTATAAGTTGATAGCTTTTGAGTAAAACTCTTTATAGGTTAAAATGAAGCAGCGTTAAATTTGTTCTAACCTTTCTAAATTGCATAACAATGTTCATAAGGCTGCTGGTTGTTGATTGTGATGAGGATGAGCTGGAGGAGTAAAGCAGATCTTCAATGGAGATTTTGTTCTTGATGGCCTGGTACAAGCTGCGTTGGCGTGTTGTCAGTGGGCAGTACACGAGGATTTCAATCTGAGATCATACATAAGCAACAAATGAGTCTCAATGATCTTTTACCCATGAAACAATGTGCCATCTAAGCTTTCTTGCCACAATTAAAGAAGTAAATCACAGTTAACAGACTACCCACACTAACTGTGAAGCTCACCTTATCAGATAATTCATTTTCCACATCTTTCTTAACTCTTCTCAACATGAAAGGTTTAAGAATCATATGCAGTCTTGACAACTGATCTATAAAGTGAGATCAAGATACAAAATAAGTAACATTTCTCACAAATTATACATTTAAAATATTTTAAACAAATATTTGGAGATATTTACCCCCCCCCCCCCCCCCCCCCCCCCCCCCCCACTTACTTTCATCAATGCCAGATTGCTTTTCAACATGGCTCTCAATATCTTTTGAGAACCATTCATTGAACTCATCATGGGAGTCAAAAAGAGTTGGCATTATGAAGTGCAGCAAAGCCCACAACTGAAACAATGTGTTGGGAAAATCATTTAATAATAAAAAATTTATTTTAAAGTAAAAATACAGGTGGAATAAAAAATTTATTTGAATAATAAAGCCCATTAGAATAATAAAGCCCATGTTTGTTATTTATATTATAAATATTAGCAGAAAAGGGCCCCATAAACTGTGGTAAAGACTGTCACTCAAGGATAGGACTGCACAGCCACTCGAGAAAATGCAACCCAACCCAACGGTGATGCACCATCGTCTCACGAGACGGAAGGATGACGATTAATTATTAGCACTTGTAAAAGAAAATAAGTGTTTTAAGGCAGGTTGCATCTAGTATTTAATTAAATTCTTCTATATAAATTTAAAATATTTTATTTATAGGCATAATAGTGTGAGATAACCAAGACATTTATTGTTATTGTTTCCTTTATAATTTAAAACTGTTTTTATGAGCTGTAGGAAATCTCATTTTACCTCAGCCATGCTGTTCTGAATGGGGGTTCCAGTCAAAAGCAGTCTGTTACGACAACTGAAGCCCAGGAGTATTTTCCATCGCACACTGCAATGCCAAACAAATATGATCACCAACATGTTGGGACTAATGTTAACAAATCCCTAAATTTAAAACTGTGTGCATACATAATAAACAATAGACAAATTCTCTTGATAATAAATTTAACAATCTTAAAACTCATGCATTAATCAAGTATATGTTTCTTAAAAAATCACAAACAATCACACCCTTCAAGTCCATACACAGCTCAGTAACAGTGACAGCCAACGGGTTTGGAGGAAAGCGGTTATTACGTGAGTGCACTCTACTGAAACATAACATTCCCAAATCTGTGTATATTGCTAGTCTAAAGTTCTATTACCAACCTAGAAGTACTTTTGATGGCCTGTGCCTCATCCAATACCATGTACTGCCACTTGATTCTTTGGAAGTACTTGACATCTTGAATGACTAGTTGGTAGGATGTGATTACCACGTGAAAAGATGCATCTTCGGTGTGTAAGGATTTTTGGTCCCAAAATTTTCGTAAGATCTTTCTGTCCTGTGTGTTTCCCCAATATGGGACTACCTAATGATGAAAATGAAGATAGATAAGATTCCACTTGGGTGAGATCTTTCTGTCCTGTGTGTTTCCCCAATATGGGACTACCTAATGATGAAAATGAAGATAGATAAGATTCCACTTGGGTGAGTTGTTTTTTTAATCACACTAATGTGGTCTTCAGCAGCAGTTGTCTCACATGAACAAACTTATTTATATATTTCAAACTCAAGCATCACAGGTTGCAGTTATACCTTAAATTTTGGTGTAAACCTAGTAACTTCCTGTTGCCAATTATGTAGAGTTGAAGCAGGAGCAATTATCAGAAAAGGGCCCCATATACTCTGTACCTGTAAGAAAAAATGTCAAAGAATTTTCTAATAGTGTTATAAAAAGTGTTATAAAAAGATAGTTTTTATTTTTTTTAAATTTAATTAGCATATCATTATGCAAAATTATTTGAGTTTTGACAGGTATGCAAAAAGATCTCTAAATTACCTGAGGTACTTAAGGGTAAGGAATAACTAAAAGCATGATTGCCAACAAAAATCTAAATTATTAAAAGTAGCACAGGTGGAAAGGATTGTGGAAAAAACTACAAAATTAAATAAATCAATAGTTTAAAGTTTATCTCTTCCAAACTTTTAACATGAAAACAGGAGAGCAACAGAAGAAACGCTAGTGGAAACTTTGATCTCCTTTACCTAGCTTTATTTATAAAAATCCTTAATTTTGGTGCTTACTAAATAATAATATTGTTTTAACATTTTTATTTAAGATTACTAGCTTGAATCTATTTTTTACAAGTCCAAAAGAAGGGCTAGTTTACTGAAATGGCACACAAGTCACAAAAAATAATTTACATAAATATTAAATATCATATGAAAAGATTGGCTAATTGAATGAAGAAATGAGCTCAGTTGTGATACAGGCGGCAGGTCATTCCTGTAATATAAACTATGGATATTGTCTTCAGTTGAGAATCTTCTGAGAAACACATTCAACACAAAATTAGTTGTAATATATTTTAATGCTCATGATAATGGTTTTGATCTGTCAAGAAACTAAGCTCACCTCCGCCAGATAGGCCAGGAAGGCTATACTCTGTACAGTCTTACCAAGACCCATCTCATCTGCCAGAATGCCATTGATCCCCTGATTGTACAGGTTGGCCACCCAGTTCATGCCTTTCAGCTGATAGCCTTTAAGTTTTCCATTGAACATGTCAGGCTGTGCACTGTTATTTTCAGCACTGAGGTTAGGTTCAGACAAAACTTGGTTTACTGCAACAACAGCAATTCAAACAGAGTACAGATGATTGAACCAAAACATTCCACTATGCTACATTGTTAGTTTAATTTGAAAGATAAATTAATTTGAAAAGCTTTAGTCCTAGATGTTTTATGCTGTTAAAAAAATGAGAAACTTGCCCTTGTTACTTACATGCATCTGAATTAAAAGCTCTTCTCTGAAACAAACAAAAAACAAATGAAGCAAGAACTGTCAGCACAAAGTTTTGAAAGTTATTAACATCATGATCTTTAAACCTAGTGACATTATTAAATGTGATAATATATCCACTTAAAACATTATTACATGTGATAATATATCCACTTAAAAATTATTACATGTGATAACATATCCACTTAAAACATTATTATATGTGATAACATATCCACTTAAAACATTACATGTGATAATATATCCACTTTAAACATTATTAAATGTGATAATATATCCACTTAAAACATTATTACATGTGATAATATATCCACTTAAAACATTATTACATGTGATAATATATCCACTTAAAAAGAAATATTCTAAAAATCCTTCATTCTAAAATAATTTAATCATCTAATTTACAAGATCACCTCCACCAGATTTTTAGTGTAAGCCGTCTCAGCATTGTCCAAAGCCACTTTCTTCATGACATCACAATCTGATGAAAAGAGAACAGTTAACGCTAAAGATCCACATTCCATCTTTTTCTCCCTATCCACACAATACAGATCAGCGTCTGTACAACACAAAATTGTAAATGAATAATTTGCTTCCCTTTTATAAAATGAATAGGACCATTAGTATGCTGATAACAATGATCATGCCTGGAGAGCTAAACAACTTGGAACACGTTCTTAAAAAGCTTTTTGAGCTTAAATTTGTTCCTGGTACCCAAACCGAAATGTCACATAATCCTTATGTATTCCTAAAAAAAATTGTATGTATGCAAAAAAAAAAAAAAGTAACATCAATTTAAGCCAGAACAAACTAGCTATTGGTCTCACCATAGTCATCGTCTTGAAGTTCATCCTCTAAAACACCATCTCTTACGTGTCTAGAGCTGTTCCCCCAACTCCTTTCATCAAGGTGAGACAATATTTTTTCCTTATGTTCATTACCTTCACCTGTAATCTTGCGAGCCATAAAGTGTGCATACAGCTCAGTTTGTGTGATCAAGAAGTTCAGTTTTCTTTGTTGTCGCTTAGCCTAAACAAAACAGTTAAACAAATAAAATGTCACAAATTTTGTAACTGAACAGAAGAGAAGTTTGAGGAAGAGCATAAAAACAATAGACAAAAAGTAGGTATAACACAATTATCTGATCAAACCAAGGAGTTTTGAAGCCAGTAAACAAATATCCTACACAAGTTGCTATGCCTATTTGTTGAGTTTTTTTCCTGTACAGATCTTCCAACCAAGATTATAACTGCTATGGATGAGGCTTGAGTTTAACTGCTTACTTCCTCATTGTTTGCTAACATTTGAGCTTTTTTGTTTATCAACTGTTTGTAAGATGTAAATCAAAACTCATTCAAGTAATTGAAGATATCAACAACATCGTTAACCTAACCTCTCTCAGCTCAATATCCAATTTTCTTTGTTCCAAAGCTTCCTTTTCGGCACGTTTCCTGTGTTCCTTTTCTACTTTCTCAAAACGCTTCCAATAAATGAGCATCTCTCTAGTCAATCTTCGAGCTCGAGATGGTGTCTCTTTCATCGTTTTCTGTGACTGAAGAGCAGCCCGGCGACATTCACGCATTGCTTGAGTCGAGATCTGGTGGAAATCATAGAATACACAGCTTAGCAAAAATAACTATCAAATGTTAAACAAATCTGTTAAATTTAATTATATACCATTGATGTTTTAAATAAGAACAAATATATCACAGTATATATGTTAAAAATGAAAGTTTTAACAGAAATTAGATCTGCTAAAATATATTATATTATTTAACAATCAATAATCAAAGGAGAATTAGCTTACCTTTTTCATTGTTGCCAACATTTCCTTTCTTGCTGATGCCTTCTGCTTTTGTGCCTGAAATAAGATCAGCGCATCAAAAAATTTCAGAAAGGTTAGGTAAAAAATAAACTGTTTTAACAAAAAGTATTTTCTCACTAACTAGTTTCTTCTTCTTGTTACTTCTCTATAATTGCATCTCTGACAATACTACATTTAGAATAAGCATAGGTAATTATGATTAATTGAATGTGTTAAAACAATTGCTTCACAATCTACAGATAAGTAATGCCACACTAAAGTCAACTTTTATTAAAATTAAAAAAGCAATGCATATGTTTTATCATACATAAAAACAAAAGGCCTGTCTTGCAAAGAACAGTGCTGGTAAAACTGTAGATATCACTTTACTTTAAGCCTTCTACTTTGAGAATTTTATAAGGACAAACAAAAAATATATGCTTTGAATAACTTCCCAAAATTGTTTAATGCATCTACTGATAGATATGAAATGTTAGCAGGTTACAGATTCACAAAGAATCAATTTTAAAAATATTTTATTTCCTATTACCAATGTTGTTTAAATTATAAAACATTACACAAGAAATGCTACAAGATCAGATTAGAATGTGGTAACTACTGACCCTTGGGATTTCCTTTTTAGCAATAGAAATCCATAACTTTCTTCTTTTTGCATCAGCTTGCTCAGGAGTTAATTTTTTGGGCCTTTTCTCTTTTTTTTCTTGTCGTTTGGCCAATATAGCTTGCAAAACAGCAGGATCGATTTCCTGAGATGGAATAGGCATGAAACAGATCAAATATTGACATGAATATTGCAAGCAGAGCAAAAATTTAATGTAAAACTAAAAAGAGCTAGTTCCATCATTGCTCTAGAGTTAATAAATAAAATAAATAATAAGTAAGATTTATGACACTGACCTCTCCATCATCCTCCAAGTTGTGATCTTTCTTCAGTTTTTTCAACTTTGCTAACACAGAAATAAAATTACAGTATGATAAATATATATTCCTTAAAATAAAATTATTTGACAAAATTGAAACCCCAAGTTTGAAACTATAAATATTAAAAATAATGATTGCCTAAAAAATAAGAGGTTATAAAATGAATCCTTCAAACCTCTTGCTTTCTTTTCTTGCTTTTTCTGTTCTTTTGCCATTTTCTTTTTGTGACCCACAAACATCTTACTATGCTCAGGATATCTGTCATAGTTTGATAGAAGACCAGTGCTGCAATACTGGTACTGACGAAGCTGGTAAGGTGTAAATACATAGCTGTTGGTCTAGAATATGATTTACTATGATAACATTAAAGTAAAAGCAGTATCATTATATATTGATTCAGATAAGTTGACGGCAGTGAGAAAAAAAAAGAAATAACTATTTCAATGGCAACTGAGTTCTTTAGTTTCTAGGAAAAGAGGCAAGGTGTGAATGAAAAAAAAAAATTGGGTTATTTATAAATGGATCAAGAATTTACCTCTGGATCATGGTAGAATCTTTTCCTGTTCTTTTTATTATGTTTATGGATGGCTAGCATAAAGTGAAGATCTTCAACTTTCATAGGCTTCTCCTCATCCTCTGACGATGAAGTGTCACTGAGTAAGATTGTCTTTTAAATAAGATATAGAAACAAAAAAATTATTCTATTATTCAACAATTTTTTTTTAAAAGTTGTGCACAATTTTTTAAATGTATTTTTTGTTTGCAGAAGAAAGTTGTAAGCAAAGTGTTGAATGGTTTTGTTTTGTTTCTTTTTCAGTTATCCCATTTCATGCTTGAATAATTATATTAGATATATCTACGAGATGCTGCTCTAAAAAAAAAAAACAGGCTTGATAGAAACGTTTTGTGAACTTTGATCAGTATAAACAAACCTCTCACTTTCAGTCACTTTTTATTATTGCTGCAATGTTTTTTTTAATTGGAATAATTTTAAGTAAAAAAAATTTAGTAACTCATCAATTGGAAAAAATTTAGTGAAATGAACCAATTATTTTTTTTAGATATTACTTGGGGTTTCGGGGAGTACCGGTATATCAGTCAAGTTCCAATCAAATTTAACTGCTTACCCTTAACCATCTCCGACTTTTCTTGACTTGACTAAAATTGTACAATCTTGTTTTATCAGCTTTTCGTTCTGGAATCATGCATTTTTATATAATAAATATACAATAAATACAAAACTATTTTAGTTTAGGTACCCAGTTATATAATATCACTGTAAAATTGTATTAATGCATTGCTGAATACAGACAAAACTTCATCCTTTGCAACAAACTCTCTTCTCTGAGACCCATTAAATAACTGCTTTGAAATAATATTCTGCACACAATATAAAAATTACAATGTCAGTATGTCTAGCGTAAATAAACACAGCTGTTTAACATGCCCTGTCTCTGTGTACAACCAACACTGATTTCAGGTAACAACCAGGTACACTCATAACAGACATAGATCTTGATCAGGTCACTCTTTTGTGTATAATGTTAATTTTGATAATTATTTTTTTTATAATTATAAATGTATGTCTCAGTTCAGTGGTTTCTTCTAACTTATGAACTGAATAATTATTTGCCATCTTCTCACCATATTTAGAAATGGATATTCCATTTACCACTTTGCTATTGTCATTGTCCTTCAAACTAGACTTGAAAATGTCTGCCTCACTTTCTGATAACTCACTTTCATCCCTAATTAAAGAGAAGAAATAAATTAAGAAATTAAATTAAAAGTAACCATTAATCTATAATTGTGCAGAACAATAAATGTTATAATGAGTTGTATCTGAATATTATGATACCAACTATTATTACAGAATCTTAGCAACACCATCAGATTAAATTAGCATATAGTTTATCCTCTTTAGGTTACTGCAAATATGTTTTGAAACAGTTACCAAGTTATAGTCTTTAATTTTCTGTTAATAATTGCTCTTAGTTATTTAGCTTTAAATTTTAGGCAGAGATAAGTTCTAAATCCTGTGCTTATATTTTTAAGCTTTAATCAAATATATAAAGTAATCAGCCACTAACTCTTGACTTAAAATAGACAACGTTGTTAATAAGGGACCATCCAATTTATTACTTATTCAAAAATAATTACAAAGACTTGCTTAATTTTTTAATAGCATTTAGAGATATAAATAGGCTATTCATCGTCTCAGAATTTGAATTTCATAACAATTATTGCAGAATTTATGAATAAATGTAAGTAATTTCTGCCGACAACCCCCCTCCCCGGTGCGTATGTGGTACATAATATATGGATGGCCCTGTCCCTCATTTATATCACTGACAAATTCAATAAGTTATTAACCATGTTTAAATGGTCATATTTATACTTGCACCAGTATAAGATATGTAAAAAAAGTTTTCTATTATATATATATATATATATATATATATATATATATATATATATATATACGTTTTATAAAAATATGTTTTTTTTGTTTTTTTATATATAATATATGGATGTCCCTGTCTCTCATTTATATCACTGACAAATTCTATAAGTTATTAACCATGTTTAAATGGTCATATTTATACTTGCACCAGTATAAGATATGTAAAAAAAGTTTTCTATTATATATATATATATATATATATATATATATATATATATATATTGAGGCCTTTCATAAAACTGTATTTTTGCTGATTTTCTGCCCACTCTTATCTCGACTTTGTCACAAAATTTAGACATCATCAAAATACAGCCTCACAAATTCGCAACGTCGGCCCACAAATGTGTCATAATGATGTCAATTATGGATGAAAGAGTGACCTACATTCAGCTTAAATTATTTCTGTTACTAGTGTTACTTACAAGCTGTCAGTATTCTGAGATAAAACTGACTCCACATATTTCATGAAAGGTTCTAAATTTAAGGCGGCTTCCAATTGTTGGATATGAAGTGGCTTTGCAAGTTGACGGCCATAATTGTGCTCCAGTGCTGGGGCCTCAGTTCCTGTCATAACAGGTTCTATGGATTAAACAAATAAAGGAAAGATATCAGATACACATATCATAATTTCTAAATGGAAATGTTTCACATAGTTTCTTTTGCTTCTACTTATCTCTATGGAAATTGACATGTAGGCCTATCTGTTTGATATTAACTTAATGATTAAGTACAATTTTTTTATAAATCAATTTTGAATTTAAAAGTACACACACACATTATATATATATATATATATATATATATATATATATATATATATATATATATATATATATATATATAATATATAAAAAATCTATTATATATATATATAAAATAAATATAAAAAAATACACACACACAATATATATATATATATATATATATATATATATATATATATATATGTATATATATAACATTAATATAGCAACAATCTATTATATATATATATAACAGGAATATAGCAACAATCTATTACATATTATAATTTATATAGCCACCATGCTACCATTTAGATACTGGTCCCTGTATTGTAAGCACTTTATTATACACTTTATATAGCATATATAGCCAATGTAGCCTTAGTAACTATAGACTTTTTTTAGGCCTATTGGGTATAATAATTAATAACATTAATGTATATATATAATATATATATTATACTAAAATATGGCTATAGTGAAGCCTATGTATTATATAGTTATATAAATATTGGCATAGTTTTATATAAAATAGTAGAGTGGAGCCTATAAAAATAAGGTACAGTACAGGTTTAAATTAAATGTAACCTGGTAGTAACCTGTAACCTACAGTATATATGTTGTAGTGTAGGATATCTTAATGTATGTATTTATGTTAGCAGTCTATATTTTACTATGGCTATAGCCCATCATATAATATGATATAGGCCTACTAATTTTAAACTTATGATACCAGTACCGTATAGGGCTCTATTATTTTTTTAAATAAATTTTTTGGTCATTACCAGTCATTGGTACTGATTTCAGTCTACTAAACTTAAACTACTACCAATGAATTATGAAGATGTAGTTTCAGTATGAACGGTACTGTATTGTAGTCGTGAATTGTAAAAGTAAAATAATTTGAATTATTTTACATTTTAGTTTAGATTCAAGATTTATATTTATAGATTATAGTTATAGTTATAATATTATTTTAAAATATGCATATTATATATATTAATATTATTATTATATTATTATATACATATGCAGGCCTAAGCCTAAGCCAACTAACTTATCACCTGCCTGTTAATACTGTTATATATATTAAATGTATAACAGGAATATGCATTTTTATAATAATTTATTTAAGTTTGACTATACTATTTTGACTGTTTGAGAGTGTGAACAATAGGCTGAGTAGGTAGAAGTTAAGACTTAACTTAGGAAGTTAGGTTTAAGTCTCCACATGTATTTGAATTTGTATGTATGTCTTTTTATGGTATCTTTATGTTTATTGGCTAAATGTGGCAGTTTACTCTTCATTCTTTTTAATCATCATTCAAGTTTACGTTAATAAGCCTAGGACACACTACCATTACAAGGCTTAAATTCAGTTGAGTAGTCTTACTTTGATTAAAATTAACTTTTAATTACACCTCTCAATTGATGTTTATGAAAATTGAAATGTTTCTTTTTAAAAAGTATTGAAATACTATCCAAAATATTGCTCCGAGCAAATTATTTTTACATTTAATCTCAATTCAATTACCACACATTCCAATAGTATATTTCGCCGAAGTTCAAAATAACTCGTAGCCAATATGGCGAATTTGCGGATGACTTTGCCTTCGGTTGGCAGCCACAAAACGACCGTAAGCTTTACTTTCTTTCCGCGAAACGAGGACATCGCCATCATTTTTAAATACTCTTTAAACAAAGTATAATTTTGCATGAAAATCCAGCTGATTGTTTGTTTGAATTTAAATGTTCTAAGGTGACAGTCAAACTATAAAATATTATTTTTAAAATAATATAATTATGTTCAAATATTTCTTTATTCAAAGAATTCATAAAACTAGCTAATAAAATTTACGAGAGTATTTCACAACAAAATTTCCGAGACACGACGGAAATAAATTAATTTTCGTAGCTGTTATTAAAGCCGGTCCGGAGATTCCGGATGACTTCCTCCTATATAAATAATTTATTTGAAGATTTGTAATTTATAATAGTAATAGTAGAGGGAATAAACTGGGCAGCCCAAATCATAATGTTTAGTTTAATGTTATAGTTTTCTTAAAATATATATTTTATTAGTGTTATGATCCCATTCTACTTGGACCACAAAATAAATGTATGAGGCATGCATAAACTGCCCCTTCTAATGTTGTCACGTGGAAGCAAACCCCGTAGAAGTCTTTTGACAGTTCTTCATTTTTAATCTATTTCTTAAATGCCAGATTGGCCTGCCATTTTTTCGTTGATATTTTTAATTTTGTAATCCCTCCCCACTTTAAAAAAAACAACAAAAAAACAAATTAAGATATTATTTGTATTATAACTTATAAACGAAAAAAGTACTTTGAAATTTATCACATTTGTATCGACACAAAATCAACAAATTATTGTTTTTAAAATGCGCGAAAACAACTGAAATAAATGTGACTCATCATTGTTCATCTTGTCAATAGCATTCGATGGAAGCTTAAAAATAATTGTGGGAGGAACCAATCGCTACATAACATTAAAGTGCATAACAAATTATATATTTCTATGTATTTAATTATTATTAATCTGTCATAGAAAGGGTAAATTTGTGAAATTAATTTTATTAAATAGCATAAAAGGTTTTTATCACAAACTTTATTGGCAGTGTGGCCCAAAACAAAGGTGAGAACATCTCGTAGCAAAGGGTTATTTAATAAAATTGAAATAATATAAAAATGTTGTCATTTACATTTGTGTGCCATATATTACGCTAATCTAAAAACATGTTCAACGTGCCCCCCCCCCCTGCTTAAGAACAGCTTTGTGTAAGCATTGGTGACACTTTATGCTTCTGTCAATAAGGTGATGGTATCACTTTTTTGAACACCCCCGTATTTTTTAAGCATTATCCCTCTTTAATGTGATTGAAATAAAAATGTTGTCATTTACATTTGTGTGCCATATATTACGCTAATCTAAAAACATGTTCAACGTGCCCCCCCCCCCCTGCTTATGAACAGCTTTGTGTAAGCATTGGTGACACTTTATGCTTCTGTCAATAAGGTGATGGTATCACTTTTTTGAACCACCCTGTATTTTTTAAGCATTATCACTCTTTAATGTGATTGAACCAAAATTTGATTAGGTTAGAATCTGAACACGTATGCAATTTGGAAAAGGTACCTTATGGCCTAAAATAAATACAGCCCGTTTTATCCTTGTCTAATATTTGACATGTTGACGTTTACGGACCAAGTGAAATATAAATTACTTTTTAAAAATTAAATATCGTCTTATGTTTTTAATAAAATAAAATCAGAAAACTATCCTGGTGTAATTTATTTAATAAAAAATTAGGGGGGGGGGAGGAGAGAGAGAGAGAGAGTTAGTTTGCAATCAGGCCAGGTAGAAGGCAACGCAACGAGGTATGGGAAAACCTGAAAAAAGGACGTATAAAACAACAAACATGTCGGCAAGAAGCCTTCTTCAGCGAAAAAATCATAAGTAACACCATTTTTAAAAAAAAATAATATAAACAGCTGAGATGTATTATCCAAAAAAGAAGAATTTATCATTTTTATATATAAGTGCAGTTTTATAGAAAGTAATGTCATATATTTTAATATGTATGTCTTAGGCTCCCTCGCTATACCCAAAAGTCGCCACTGATAAATAATCTGAAGCATCGTTTTTATTTACTTTCAGATAAATACTATTTGATAAATAACTTGATTTCAAACATGTATATTTTATATGAACTCTGAATGTAAATGATACGACATCTAAACTAAAGAATTGATGAACAAGATATGTTTAGGATTGAAAAAAAAAGAAAGGACAATTACAAGGGCGTTTTGGCTAAACATTTATTAAAGGAAAGAAACCAAAAATGACAAACTACAGCGACTGGTTTATTGATTTAAAATTTAATGGTTTGGCCTTTTATAGCGTTGAAAACTACCTGGCACGCCTCTACATAATCAGAATCCATTTTGTAGCGTCATTTTCCCTCACATCGTTAACTGCTTCGAAACAGTTTTAAGACAGACAAAGAGTAAGTACTCAAGTATTATTGTTATAGTTATATGATAACAATTATTAGACAACCTTTTCGTTTAATGACAGTTTCCGTTGCATTGCAATCCTTAAGAATAATGTGGGCTAGTCTCAATCTAAAAAAAAAGCAACCTTGCCGCGTGCTCGCCACGCTGTTATCTCAGCGGCTCGCTTGCATAATTGTCAGTCAAATTAATTGGTTTAAGGTGTAATCAGTTAATCGTGATAAATACATATTCGCCCAATTTTCTACACATAATGAATAATGCTCATTATAAAATAAAATGTCGGTCTTGTGTCAAAGACTACTGAAACCGGGAAGTGATGATGCCGCCGACCCCCCCCCTTTTTTTTTTTCCCTCTTCATTTATCTGACACCCCCCACACGACCCCCACACAAGTACACATTAAGAGTAATTAAATTATAAAGTATAGCCCAATTTTCTACACATAATGAATAATGCTCATTATAAAATAAAATGTCGGTCTTGTGTCAAAAACTACTGAAACCGGGAAGTGATGATGCCGCCGACCCCCCCCCCTTTTTTTTTTTCCCTCTTCATTTATCTGACACCCCCCACACGACCCCCACACAAGTACACATTAAGAGTAATTAAATTATAAAGTATAGTATAGTAAGAAGCAAAAGCTTAAAAAGTGGCCACATTCCACAAGCAGGTTTTAATCTCTTTTTACTCAAATTATTATTTCTAGAGAAATAATTTTTAAAATTCATTTTTACCTCATGGAACTTCATTTATTTTTAAAAGTAAAACACCATGACCATGTACCTTTTTTGTTTTAATTCAACAATTTAACAAATTATACACTATCAAATAAAGTATATTTTCATGGATCTCTTGTCTTTCATGGTGCCATTGTAAATCAAGGAGAACCCTTGCTGTCTTCAAAGATACCTTATAAAAGTAAGAAAGGTGCCCAATTACTAATTGGCAGATTAACTCTAGGCACTTGGATACAAAATTTTAAAAAATTCAAATAATTTTTTTAATGGCACAGTTAGTTAGAGCTAATTTCAAATAAAAAAAATGAAACCAGAATCAACTTTTATGCTTAAGTACTTTTTGAGCTATGAATTTTTAAAGTGTGAGTTCGTTTGGTATTTTTTACTATGGACGAAACCTCCACATCTTGTGACCTCATTCCGCTGATCGCGTCATGTGCAATGACTATATACTTTATATAAGGCAACGCATCGCCTTATCACTAAAATACTGTTTAGGGTCGACTTAGTTTAAACTTTCAACTTTGGCACATGAATAATTAATTAAAGCTTTCCCTGACCAATGGTTTAATAGTTTTTGCACACGGCAAACTCTTATGAATGAAACTCTGAGGTAGTACTACGATACAGTTATGCAAGTGGCTGTGAATGGTTGCCAATGACAACGTGTTGCACACGGTAAATTCTGATCATTTATAATATGGATTCTACCGGGTTGTTAAAGCTCAAATTAAAACATTCCAGTTTAAATGTCTTTAAAATGCATTCTGAAACACAAGTTATCAATTATTTTGATGTAAATAGTGATAATAAATTAATATTTCCTAAGTATCGTCAACTTCCGCCATTAAAAAGGGGGGCGTGGCCAACCCCATGGCGAAATTAGGTTGAGCGAGCTGCATGACCTGCTGCGAACGCGTAGAAACATGGCGTCTCTCGTAAGACACTTATCCAAATGGAACGGAACTCAAATATATATCGAAAGTACTAATTTAATAATAAATAGACACACACATCGGAAAATTAAAAACTCGGATTTTTTGGCGCCGATTGCGAAATCCCATACACAAAAAGTAGTAGTCTCCCTTGACTTACCGAAGTATCTATTAACTCTTTACATTCCTTGAAATTTGCATGTTTTTATTAGATTTCTAGTGACCTTAAAAAAGTCAATAACTTTTAGAATCCTTTTCTAAAATTCATGATGTTATATATATTATTGTGGGAAAATGCATGAGGTTTTTAAAAATAGTTGTTTTCAAACACAAATTGTCAAAGTGTCAATACTTAAAAGTTGTGAAAAAAATAAAGCAATTTTTTTAAACGAAGTGTCTACACATCAGCGGCATGTCACGTGACCTCCGGACGGCTAGTAGTTTTTATAATTCCGAACGAAGTGCAGTTTGGTAGATCTTGTGTGGTCTGATAGAGTGGTCGCTTGACGATACTATGATTTGAGGATCAATACGATCTTTTTTTTTTCTTCCCGTTTTAATTAAAAATATTTTATACTAAATTTAAATTATGTTCATCAGCAACAGTAGTTTCATGAGAAGTTTTTAAATATTTTGTAGCAATTTAAACAATTTAAAATGACATCTTTTACCTTTATTGGTTGCCTACTCCACACTGGCCCCAAATTTATTTTATGGATTACTGGTACACAAACTCAAATAACAAACTAAACAAAAATGTTTACAAGTCACTTTCACTTAAGTTTTTTTCTATTATTTGCATTCAAGATACTCAGATTACTTGGTAGAGAAATAGATTTTAAAATTAATAATAGTTTTGAATCATTCGCTGTCAACGTGACAAGGCTGACCGACAAGATTTCTCTCGCCACTTTGTTACGGCGGTCATGTGGCTTGGTCGCCGGACAAATAGTGGGGGAGATATACGTCCGGCGCGCCGCACTATTTAGAAAGCAAATTAATTTTCTTATATCATATGCATGATTTAGAACATTTCATGAGAATTTGACCAAAATATAAATTATTTTGTAAAATGTGTCAAAAGTGGGAAATAATTTTTTAAAAATAATCACCGCCCCCCACCAAGCATTCACAAAGATTAGAGGTTATTATTATTTTACCTTTTAAAAATTACTTCAAGATTTTAAAAAATAATAGAGATTTTATACTTCATGGTACTGTTAGTCAGAAAGTTTCTTGTTTTTTTAACAAAGATCAATTTACCATGCACTATATTTGATTAAAACTTTTATTTCTTATCATTCCTAGTTTATAGCGCTAGCACACTGACAATTGCTTTTAAAATCTATGCAATCAGGAATTCTTGCATTTAGATTGTATTTGGTGTTATTTACATTTGCAGCTCTTGGAACTGCATCACTTTTAGTCAATCATCAAATGCTAAAATAATTTCCTCGGTGAAGTCAGTTGAGAATAAAATGTCAGGTAGCTTCAGTTCATCTATATCATAGTTTTCTTTTGAACAATCCTGAAGAGATTATAGCTGGCATTATCAACAAAATGGAAAAGGAGATTAGTCCAGTGCTGTTCTCTTTACTTAGAATTGTGTATTCATTTATCAACTGGTCAACACCACACAGGTCACAGGAATGAATTGTATGATTTCAAAATCTGATTTGACAATATTTGGTTTTTCTCCCCAATAATTGCCTAGAAATACACCATCAGTTTTGGTTTTGTTCACAAAAGAAAATCCATTTGCAGTCATTATTTGAAATAAAAGAGGCTTGTCTAATTTTCTCTCCACTGAACATAGTATAAATTATTATCCATCACATCATATCACATTGGTTTGGTTTTTATCTTTATTTACTTCTGATAAAGTCTGACAAGTTCACTTTGCACAGTTTGTCCTCATTGTCTGTTTCAATATTATAAACTTAGAAGAATGTCTTATTTGAATAAATCTGTTTTGAGGAATACAGCATGAGCCCACAATTCATGGTAGTAGTGAAACATTGTTGCGGTTGACGAGTATTTTTGTACACTGAAGACTTGTATTGTTGACATGCACATTAGTAGTCCTAGAAATGTGTAAAAGTGGTATGTTGTTGAGTTATCAACAAACCACAGTTGATGGATGGTTTAGAAAGTCCCATGGTAGTTGAATAGGTGTATTTTACAAATGGTTCAACCAAATTCAGTGTGATACATATCTTGAAAAGCCTTAGATTTTAGGATGCAGATTGTATCCATGTTATGATGACATTTCTTCCCACACATGTCAGCCTGTCTTTCTGGCTGGGGGAAACTTTGGAGTGGGAACCAGTGGGTCATCATCTCGAACCTCATACAAACCTAGCCTGGGAATGTACAAGAACTAATATTATAGACCTATAAGATGCAACTATTAGGGATGCAATGAATATAAAATATATACTTAATTAAATTTCCAGTTTTTAATACTTCAAATACTGTCTAAAAATCGTAATTCAAAAAAAATTAGTGTCAGATAATTAATTTTTTAAAACACATAGATGTCAAATGTCATGGTCTTTAGAATAAAATATATCATAATAATCAGTGTGACTGCATTGTATATACGTTTTTTAATAATAATACCGTTTACATTTGAGATTAACCTCTTCCAGTATGTCAAGTGAATTAAAATGGCCGCCAACGGCTGTTTTTAACTTTTTGTCACATGTCAAGAATTGTAAATTCCTGCTATTATCTGTATTGTTTTAAATAAGTGATTCATTTTTAACAATATATGAACTATGCATCAAAGTAATTTTCCACGTCGATCAACCATTTAAAAAGCACGGCGAAATCACTTACCCCACTTTCACTTTACAACAGATCATCTCAGCGTAGTCAGATTTCAACTTTATTTATATCCTCATAACCGTCGTGCACAGCGGATTCAAAATAAAATGAGTTCGTCTATTTTAAGAAATGGCGCAAAACAACGCTAAGTCACGACAACTACCGAAAATGGTCAGCGCCAGCTGATCACAGCAATAGGCTGCGATTAGCCCGCTTCTTCCTACTGCCCGCGAAGCGAGTATTGGAGTGCTTACAATTGGATTTATCTAGATTTTTTTAAAAGTTGTATTTATTTAATTACTTTATTTTATGTCTAGGTGGCACATATTTCTTTCAAATCGGTGGTTTAGACAAGTTAAAATATTTAAGTATCTCATGCCTTGGCATCTTTGATATCTGGAGGGCCATCCGTGTAGGGCTGTATAAAGGTGATACTCGCAAGGTGCGTCAACATCGAGGAGCACTTTTTCTATTCACTAGGGGCTGTAGTTGCAGTCTTTGCACAGGGCACCAATTTTCCTTTGCCCGGTCCTGCATCCATTACGGACTTATTAATACTCTTCGATTTTAGTGTTTTGGGTGGGGGGTATGTGGGACAATATTCGGTCCACCACGGGCAGTGTTTTCGGCCAAGTGAAAGTTATGGTGTTTTGGGTTTTTTAAAATTTAGTGGTAGTGGCGGCGCAACTCTAGGCCAGCTTCGGGCGGTTTCACTAAGACTCTATGGCATTCTTTTTTATTCCTAGCTGTTGTTACTGTACTAGATCACATGCACAGCCATGTCTCTGGTTTACACCTCGTTAGGTAATCCTTGGTTCGCTCGTTTCGATGATGCATGAAAGTCAACCAACGCTAGGAACTTTGTCACTCTCTGATGTTGGTGAAATTCTATTACATAGCCGGACTGGGGAATGTTTACCTTGTTCAGTAAACCTAGCATTACGTTTTAAGGGCATGATTTTTTCAAAATTTATACACATTTTTATTCATTACAAACTTTCTTAATTTTTCAGAATGGGTACAAGAGTTTATATTGGCCGTTTATCTTATCATGCTAGAGAAAAGGATATTGAACGATTTTTCAGAGGATATGGACGAATAAGAGATATTATGTTAAAAAATGGATATGGATTTGTGGTAAGTGCACGTGCAAATAAATTAAATGTAGCATTTATTTGAAAAAAATGAAATTCTCCTTTGGCTCTCTTACTAAAACTTGGCTTCCTGCCAAAGCAAGAGGACATGATTCAGTTTTAAATTATTTTTAACTCGAACATGTGACTTTGATTAATTTTTTAAGATTGTTTGCTTTGCATATTTATCTTTGGCTAATAGAAATTTCTGTACTTTTAAGGAATTTGATGATTACAGAGATGCAGATGATGCCGTCTATGAACTCAATGGAAAAGAGCTGTGTGGAGAAAGGTATGTTGCATTTTAGTTAGTTATTTAATATAAAATGGGTAGGTTATTCGTTCCTAATGAGAAAAAAATAAATTGTAAAAGTTAAATTTATTAAAAGTGTTAGATCAATGAATCTTATAGTTGAAGTCTGTTTCTTCTCAACCCTATTTCCTTTCTGTCCAATCTTTCTAGCGCTAACATCTTTAAAGTTTCCCTGTCCTATGCTGACTGTATTGATTATAATTTGTTGTGTTTAAGTTTGTTCATGGCAATCTTGAGTTGTTTTTTTTATTATTGTTTTTTTTGTGAACGTTTCTGTGTTGGGTTGTGATGGCATTTCAGGAGTTTCGAGGAAAAGTGATTTCGAACAGGAACCATAGGCTCAATTTTTTTTACAAGTTTGGCCGTTCTTTCTTTAATTCCTAAAATAGTTATTAATTTTTACTAATTTAAGTTTAATATTACTAAACTTAGTCAATAATTACCATGTGGGTGCAAGACATTGTCCAATTAGTCCAATAGCAAGGGTTGGGAAACACTGGCATACATATTTTAGTGTTTAATAACGGAAGTTCCTTTTTATACAATTATTGCCATGTACAGCACTCTTGCACATTATTATACCATTTCTTATTTGCTTTAGTCAGCATTTAATGCAATGGATTTAATATTTTATTTGTTAATTTTTTCATATGTGACAATTCTAGGTGGGTTGGGATATTTTTTTTTTTATGAACTTAAGACTTTCAATGGAGAGTTGAAAACCATCATTGGTAGTTTTGCATTTTTACCTCCCAATGAACTGAATATTCTTATTACACGCGTATGCTCTTTTATTTTTCAGGGTTGTAATTGAACATGCACGCGGCTCGGGGAGACCCCCAGTTTCTAGATCTAGAGGTTCATCTGCTTGGTTAGACAAGTAAGGGGATTGCTATTATAGACACTTTTTACCCCACCTTCTTTATGCATTTTTCTGTTTCCCTTCAGAGTGAGTGTTGAGCACGCCCGAGGGCCGCGCAGTGACGACTCGTTTCGTGACCGCGGCTTTAGAGGACGCCGAGGTGGTGGTAGGCGGGACAAGTAAGCATCTTTGATGGAGACATTTTGAAATCTTGTTTTCCACATTATAATTATGTTCAATATAATTACTATTTTTCCCACTTAAAATAATACTTATCTCTTCCTTGCTTAACTCCTTGGAATGGGAACACAGAAAAAGGCCATGTCAATCATAGGTTTTGTGAACATAGTTGATTTAGAAAGTACAGTCATTTCCTTTCCATATATTCTGTTATTGGAAAAATTTTCTTCGTTACAGCTTTAACAGAAGCTACGTTTATTTTAAGCACAATAACTACCAGTATTTAAAAGTTCACGATCCCACTTAGAAGTATTGGTCCTAAAAAAATATTTTTTTTTTTGTTAAGAGTATGTTGCAACTCTAAAAATCAATTGGTGCTAATTTGAAATCTGCCTCTAATGTAACATGATGATAACCTTTTGCGTGTCATCTGACATTCCTATTAGCATTAGCAAAATTTTATCTGCTATATGCTCTAAGGTATGATTTTCAATGGTTACTGATTACTTTACTTTCATTTCAGTTATTTTTGTAAAGTGTCTTAAATATCTTAAATATTAAAAGAAATGGCATTGCAATATTTTTATTTATTTAGGTATGGTCCACCAACCCGCACTGACCATAGGCTTATTGTTGAAAATCTTTCCTCTCGTGTCAGTTGGCAGGTATGTTTAAATCGATTTCTTACTTTTCTGGTGGGTTTCATTCACAATTTACAAAATTTGGTCATTTTAGTTTTGACACACTTAACATATCCTTTTGAAACATGAGGTGATCACTTTTTACTGTTAAGGATTTTATATTATTACTCAAGTTCAAGAGTAGGACTGGGTTTATTTTGTTTTTTTCTTCCTTGGGACCGACTAGATTAAAACAAATAATAGCAAATTTGCAACCACCAAAAAACAAATCAAAAAATTTAAAAGACATATTGTTCTCATTCCCATAAGCCTCCTCTTCAAAGATGAGATGAAGTAAACAAGGGCACTCTATGATGTCCGGGCTTAATAGCTCTCCTTAAGAGATGATGATGAGTCTGGCTGAGGGGATGACTCGAAGCTTTCACTCTAAACTGGCTGTGACGGGGGGGCCTTTTCATATCCTTGTCGCTTGCCTGCCAGGTCGGGCCTGGGGGATAGGGTACCATACCAGAATAACGTCCTGTGAGAGCCAGAAGAGATAGTTTGTTTTAAATAATGGATTTGATCCTATGCCAACCGTCGTAAATGTATTAGGTAAAGAGTGGTACCGACATCAGTGATGTCCATTTTCGCCCATCTGAAAATTGCTGTTGCCTGCTGTTGGAACACCTGGTAGTCTTTATTATGTCGATGTGTAGTTGTAAGTGATGATGAGTGAAGTGAGTCGTATGCCAAAAGACGAATAGTGCACAGACGACCCCCTGGCCTGCGTGAGTTCTTTAGGGCTCCTTAGACTGACTGACTAGGGCCATTGCTTGTTCAAAATTATAGAGGTAATCTACTTTGCACTTAAAAAGTGTTACTGGTATCTTGAAATGGGTTTGGGCACTGTATCAGCTTTTTAAGTTTTCCCATCTAGATATATTCAAATTTCTGTGATTTAATTATTCACATCCCCAGTCTTTCTTGTAGAATAACATAAACATTTTATTTTTTAATGGCCCCTAGTGTCTTACAATGAGTGAATACATTTAATTGGAGGCTTTTTATTCATGAGTACTGTCATACTATTTGGAACCTCCAATGTTGGAATGTATTTTTTAAATATTTATTAACAGTTAAGCTATAATCCAACTTGTAATTGAGACTACTCATCCAAAACTGAAGCAGCTTTAATGCTTGGTATTAGGATTAAGGGTGACAAGCATTTGATTGGAGTTTGCAGCTTGCAGTTTTTTCAATATATGTTTTGTTGCTTGTACGAAACTTGGACAGCAGATTTGGGTTTGCCCAATTAACAGTTGTTTTTTGTTGTTTTTTTGTATTGAATGCATTCAACTCATTAGCATGTTCATTTTATCATTTGTTTAATTTGAAGGATCTTAAGGACTATATGCGTCAAGCCGGAGAGGTAACATATGCGGATGCCCATAAAAAACACAGAAATGAGGGGTGAGTTTGGTTTCAATGACTTGTTACAAACTGCAGCATTGTGATGTACCATCTTTCGGGGCTGACATTGATGATGCCAATCTTAACTGAATGCTGTTTTTCCTTAACTTATTTTATATTTGTTTTATTGTTTGGTTTAATATAGCTACAGTTTAAAAAAAATGAATCCATGAGGTGCTGTGATCATTTTTCAGCATATTTTTAGATCATGTCTCCATATCATCAAGGGTTTAATAACTTTGATATGTGTCAGAGGCCCATCTTAGTATGTTTATATTCTCAGTATATATTCTGATTAAACTGGATAAGGGGTATACATGACTTTGGGACTTGTAGTGAGATAAGTTAGGTGATTATGTCTTTGTCTTGTTGTGCTATTTTACTCTTGAGGCATTGTTGTTTTCAAAGGCTAGATTGGATACAAATTCGACAGTATTTTATTTTACAAAGAACTATAGTGTTTGTAAGTCTGACTATTGAAAGCTCTTAATAGTTTTGTAAAGGTGTATTGCTTATATTAATACATTATTTCCCCACATTTGTTTTCACGATTTGCTTTCTTCCCCTTCACAGGATTATTGAATTTGCTACGGCTGCTGACCTAAGGAATGCCATTGAAAAGTTAGATGGTACTGAGATAAATGGTCGTAAAATCAGGCTGATTGAAGACAAGCCTAGAAAACACAGGTTTGTTTTGTGACACTATGCCCTCCCACCTTCTAAGATCATTTATAGTTACAGCATAATGATGTTCCATCTTTCGGGGCTGAATATGATGATGCCACAATCTCCTGAATGCTGAATAAATTTTTGTATATTGGTTTGTGAAGAGTCTTTTTCCCTATGGATGTGCCCTGAAAAGCTACTCTCAATTTTACTGTTTATAAAGCAACGGAATCATACATTCTTCCACACCTGATGTCGTGATTTAAATTTTAAATAACTGAATTCTGTTTCACTTACAATGTGTGTGTTTTATTTTGGTGCTCCCATCTGGCACGTTTGTCGGAAGTTGCAAAGGTTTAAGCCTAGAAAACACAGGTTTGTTTTGTGACACTATGCCCTCCCACCTTCTAAGATCATTTTATAGTTACAGCATAATGATGTTCCATCTTTCGGGGCTGAATAAGATGATGCCACAATCTCCTGAATGCTGAATTTTTGTATCTTGCTTTGTGATGAGTCTTGATATCATATTGATTCTGGTAAACTGTTAGCTCATTCCCTATGGATGTGCCCTGAAAAGCTGCTCTCAATTTTACTGTTTATAAAGCAATGGAATCATACATTCTTCCACACCTGATGATGTCGTGATTTAAATTTTAAATAACTGAATTCTGTTTCTCTTACAATATGTGTGTGTTATTTTGGTGCTCCCATCTGGCACGTTTGTCGGAAGTTGCAAAAGTTAAGCCTAGAAAACAGTTTGTTTTGTGACACTATGCCCTCCCACCTTCTAAGATCATTTTATAGTTACAGCATAATGATGTTCCATCTTTCGGGGCTGAATAAGATGATGCCACAATCTCCTGAATGCTGAATTTTTGTATCTTGCTTTGTGATGAGTCTTGATATCATATTGATTCTGGTAAACTGTTAGCTCATTCCCTATGGATGTGCCCTGAAAGCTGCTCTCAATTTTACTGTTCATAAAGCAACGGAATCATAAATCCTTCCACACCAGAATGATGTCGTGATTTAAATTTTAAAATAACTGAATTCTGTTTCACTTACAATGTGTGTGTTTTATTTTGGTGCTCCCATCTGGCACGTTTGTCAGAAGCTGCAAAGGTTTTGTGACAATATGCCCTCCCACCTTCTAAGAACATTTTATAGTTAACAGCATAATGATGAACAGCATAATGATGTTCCATCTTTCGGGATTGAAAATAAATGATGCCATAATCCTCTGAATACTGTATAAATTTGTGTCCATTGTTTGGTGATGAGTCTTGGTATAATATTTATTCTGTTGGCACCTGACAGCCAGCCACTAATTTTTGTTCTTAATTTTTATAGCAACAGACTCACATGTCCTTCCCCATTTTAAGAGAAAAAAAAAATTACTTTCAATATGTGTGCTTTAGTGTGGTTGCCCCTATTTCTAACACTTTGAAGCTAAAAAAGTTTGGTTTATTGCTGTTAATCTTTTTCTTGTAGCTAATGCATTTTTAGAAGCAACAAAACATATAAACCAAGTTACTCCAGAATATTTATAACTGGCAGTGTGATAGCCGTATAGAATGAGTTAATAACCAATTTGACTCGTAAATATTCATGTTATTTATTAACTTCCGTAACGGTCATCAGATATCTATTAATTACCTGTAGCACTAAATCTGTACTAAAAAGGGTTGCCACTCTCTGTTTAGTACTACCGGTTTGCAATTTCATTGTCATCAAATTATTTTATTTCTACAGCCGCTCTAGGAGTAGATCTAGATCCAGAAGTCGTCGTAGAAGTCGATCAAGGAGCGGAAGTCGGTCAAGAAGTAGAAGTCGTAGTAGGTCTCGAAGCGATAGTAAAGACAAAAAGTCCAAGAGCAGATCTGCAAGTCCATCCAGGAAGAAGTCGACCTCAAGATCTAGGTCACGTTCACGTTCTAGATCTCAAGACAAGGAAAATGGAGATCAAGATGGTGATAGAATTAATGATGATTGAATGTATGGGTAAATGGCTTGTCTGTATGATTTAATCAATTGGAGTATGGAAGGTTTTTTTAATGTAAAAATTTTATCTTGCTCTTCATCTTTAACTGAAGAACGAACCTTCTAAAATTCATACATTTCATGAGATGGTTTTTGCATCCATTGTAATTATGTTCAATTAAGGTAATCAACTTTTCTGTAGAGTGGTGAATGTGTGTGGATGAGTAAACTGGTGATTTTTTGATTTTTTTAAAAATCAGACTCATTACATAAAGTACATTAGTGAACAGTTCCTGGGTAGATGATGTAAAAGTTCACTATTGACAAAAATATTTTAAAATTTTCTGTTTCTTGTTGCTAACAGCAGGTTGATGAGTTGCATTCTTTGTTTTCCAAAGATAGATTTGCATTGGCCCATGAAAGCTATTGCTTGTGTTGGTGTGACTTAATTTTGATGTTACAATGTGTAGAAATGACAGTATGCACCTTGGTAATGTTTAAATTTTAAAGATTGATTTTGTTAAAATCTATTCTGGTGTCTAATTGAGCTGTAATGTGTATAGATGTTTTATGATTGTCCCAAGTCTTGTATATTATTTCATGATTACATAATAAATGCATTGAGAATTATCACAGACTTGTCTATGATGAGTTGGGATATCTAAAACAAGGTGCCTTAATATTATGTTCAGTAGACAGCTTAATACCAAGGTACAGGTACCTTAATGTAAATATTTTTACTGTACCAGTTGGGGTATGTAAATATATTGAGTAGGGTGATGGTATTTTAATTGCTGATAAAAGTAAATACCGGTAGTCTAGCTCCAAACTACACCTCCAAGCAAAGTTTATCCACATTAGGAAGGCTGATAGTAATTTATATTAGTGAATTTGCAGACGGTACTTTCTTACCTTCTAATTCTAAGACTTCTAGGTTGTAGAAGCAGGTATTCTAAATGAAAATTTCATAATTAAATAAAAGTCCATATATTCCCCCAATCAGAAAAAAAACACTAATTGTAATTATCTCCATGAATTTTTTAAAACTTGGGAACAGTCAAATTTTAGATGACTCATACTCGAGTGTAATTTTGACAGTCTTCTAAGTTGGAACTTTCAAGTCTCTTGCACACATAGCCAGTTATACAGATAACAGAAACTTTTCACCTAATACTAAATTATAGAAACTGAACGACTGAACATGTTTTTATTTTTAATTGGAAATAAAGTCTCGGGCTAGAAAATTTTCCAAACAAGGGTAACTTTCAAACCCAAAATTGATGGCCCCTCTGAATATACCGTATATATTTTTTATAGTGGTAAATTTTAAAGTGATTTTATCTTAAATTAAATACCGGGTACAACAAAAATTCAATTTTTATTTTAAAAATAGTTTTTTTTAGCATTTATTTAAGGATTACGCTACAGCTTCAAAAATTATATACCTGTATAAAGAACTAAATCTCTACTTTCGCCGGCTCATTTAGAATACCAAGTTGTAATTGTAGCCAAGTATTGAACTATTAAAACCCCGTCATTCCGATAGCCTGTCATCAGTGACATCCAGATTTGTGCAAAACTCCACAAATGCTACTGCTTCGTTTGACAAGCCTTTCCTAAAAGAAGCTCGTTAAAGTTAAAAAGAAACCTTGAATACTGGTATACCAACAATGCATCATGGACTAAATTTGCTTCTTTTGATTTTGAAATGAATAATGTATTATTATACCGGTATAAGTTTCTAGTAACTACCATTTCCATCAAATTTACTACTCAAATTTCAAAACAACTGATAAATGATGGTGCATACCAGTACCGGGCATATCATTTTGGTTGAAGTACATCTAGTGACTTTAGGAGACTATTATTTGAATTTTAGTTGTTCACATCACAAGTTTGAGCCATTTTAAATTGAAATCGGGGACCAAGGGGTCTGAGTCAATTAAAATATTTATTTTAAAGTAGGCCTCTAGGTTCGGACCACTTTTTCAAGAGTAAAACCTTTAGTCTGAACATACTGCTGTGTAAGATTAACTGCCTCAAGTAGCTCAGCCCAAAGGTATTGGTAGCAGATAAACGTGAAATCACAGACAGCATTAAGACCTTGTGATGTATCTCTTGTAATCCCGTTACAAATTTATTCATTTATCAAACTTATCTTTCACTGGTTAAACAGAAACATGATGAGCATTCCAAGGTGTTGTGGACAGTCTTTCACCGACAATCCCCAATCCCGTGTGTTCAATTTAAACATCCCATCGATGAATGGACAAAGCAAAGAAGAAAAATATTCTCACAAGAATATTTAAATGTTATACTTATACATGACATGAAATGATAAAGTGAAGCATTTTCAGCAAGAGTTTACCTTTCCAAAGTTACCAAACACTTTATTAATAAATCGGCATTGAATCATGGTCAAAACGGTGTTTTTGTGACCTAATTTTACAATTAAAAATTATATGGTTTCTCATTTCTGGGGCATCAATCTTGAAATTTTAATAAAGCACGCAAGTGGAAGCTGTAGCGTAATCCTTAATTAAATGCTAAAAAAAACTATTTTTAAAATAAAAATTGAATTTTTGTTGTACCCGGTATTTAACTTTAAGATAAAATCACTTTAAAATTTACAGCTATAAAAATATATACGGTATATTCAGAGGGGCCATCAATTTTGGGTTTGAAAGTTACCCTCGTTTTATAAAATTCGGTTAGACTGAGCAGTTTGGGCTCCGTAAATATGCAATTTTTATAATTTGGTGTCTCCCCCTGAAATGGTGTCACCCAGTGCGGTCCGCACCGCCTTAGCTACGCCACCGGCGCTATGCATGAGATCATTGAGATAGCCTAGGATGGTTTTCAAATATGGGTACCAGTAGTAACTATTTTTTAATACCGTACCATTGACCATACAAAAATTACTGTCGTATGAATTTATAGTATTTTTTTGTTTTTTTAAAAGTTTTCATAGAAATCGAAAGATGGCAAGAACAAAGAGAGTGAATGTTTACAAACGTTTATTCATCTAATAACACTAAAACATATGATTGAAAGATTTGTTTGGGGGTAATATTATAATATACATATATGAATCATC